TGCATCGGCAGGCGGACTCCCAACCACTGCGCCACCAGGGAGGCCCCCTTTTATGAGTCTTTATCCTTTGGCCTGCTGTCTTCCTTTTGGGTTTATCTTTCTTTTTGTTGGAGTGCAAAATTGAATAGTTCTATAGTGGAGGATCTGTGGAATGTAAACCTTCTGAGTCCTGATATGTCTGGAATTGTCTTTTCTTGCCCTGACTTATAATAGTCTGGATTAGGGTAGGATACTTGGTTCAGGCTTACATCTACTCAGATTTTTTTTTTTTTTCTTTTTTTTGCGGTACGCGGGCCTCTCACTGTTGTGGCCTCTCCCGTTGCGGAGCACAGGCTCCGGACGCGCAGGCTCAGCGGCCATGGCTCACGGGCCCAGCCGCTCCACGGCATGTGGGATCTTCCCCGACCGGGGCACGAACCTGTGTCCCCTGCATCGACAAGCGGACTCTCAACCACTGCGCCACCAGGGAAGTCCCTACTCAGATTTTAATGCCTCTTTGCATTGCATATTGCCAATGGGCAGCCTGACGTCAGCTGAATTCTCATCCCATTGTAGGTAGTTTATCTTTACCTAATTTTTAGGGTTTTCTCTTTGTCTTCGATTTTCAAAAGTTTCACTATGACTTTTCTAAATTGGGAACTTAAAAAAAATCAGTGACCTCTTTCGATTTCGAGATTCATGTCTTTTTGAAGCTCTAAGAAATTATCTACCAATTGTATCAAAACACTGCCCTTCTTCTTTCTCTTTCTGGATTCCTAGTAAATGGAAAATGAAATGTATGAATCGATTCTCTGTATCCCTAAACTTTCCTTTTACATATTCTATTTTTTTCATTTGTGCTGCATTCTGAGGATTTTCTTTGCATGATTTTTTGGTTCACAAATATATACTCCACCTGTGTCCAGCCTGCTCCTCTATCCATCTTTTGGGGGTTTTTGTTTAACTTTTGACTGTCACATTTCCCTGTTTAAGTTCCCTAATAGGATCTTCCAAAACTACTTGTTTTCATTGCATGGAAATGCTTCACCACTTCCCTCAGATGGTGTTAATATGTGCATTTCATGGTATTTTCCTGATTGTTACGTGAACCGTTTCCTTGGGGTAGGTTCTTTGTTGCCTCTCCTTCATGGGCTTTACCTTCTTTATATATTTGGTAATTCTTGATAGTCATCTCATGTTTGAGAGGGTTGTGTACAAGCTCTGGGCTGTGACGGCTCCTGGTCAGGTCACTGGCCATGCAATGGCGCAGTGACCTTCAGGCGGCAGTGTGGGACTTGGGGAGGAGGACGAAGGGATACAGTTCTGGAGAACTTCAGAGCCTTGAAGTGATGTTATGAAATTATTAATCTGTATTTATATTTGATGGGTTTGGTGCTGCGGGGGGTAAGTAAAATATTACAAAGGAGAATTCCAGTTTCAAGATGAAAGACAGAGGACAGGCTGAGATCACCTCCCAGCATTTAAAAAAAATTAACAATTTTCAGTTACACAGTAAATTTTCTGAATTTGTCTTTTTAAGAAATAACTTAGGTTAAATCAGCAACTGCATATCCTAAATAATAGAAAAAGTTAGGTATCATTGTTTCATAACATTCTATTAACAATATCTGAGTTTTTTGATCACCAATATGTTTTTTAGTCCCCAAATGCACCATCAGTCAGAACTGAGGTCCACTCTTCCATGGGACAAGTTGACTCTGACACTTGCAAGGGTAAGGAGTCTCTTGGTTTGAGAACTGCTGGCCTCACTATAGCTCTCGGAGGCCACTTACAGGGAGCCATGAGGGTGAAATGAGACAAGGTGTGTGACACGCTGAGCACAGTGGCTGGCATGCCGCGTGCTCTCAGTACTTGCTGGTTGCTCTTTTCTAAGGGGTGTTGATGGCTCTGAGCTGCAGAGAAGTGACCTCTCGCCTGGTCCTAAATGATTTGGTCCTCATCGCTCCCCGCGTCCTGCCAGGTACATTCAGAGCAACCTGGCTCAGACCTGGGCTTGTTGCTGCCACCTTGCTGGGGGTAGGGCTGGCTGGTGATGCTGGCCAGAGTGACCTGTCCCTAGGCCCCAACCCTCCCCTAGGCCAGGGGAAGGACCTGGCCTTCTGGGGACATTTGACAGGACTCACTCCTTGTCTTTGCTCCATGAATCTTCCCCTTCTCCCTCCTTCCTCCTGGCCGGGGAGGAGGTGGTCCATCTTCGTGTGTCCCTGTGTGCACGTGTGTGTGCTCTTTTTTTTATTAGCTTTACCAGAGGTTTCTGTTGGTGCTGGCTGACATCCAAGAGGTGAGGAAAAAGCCCTCGGTGTGGGAGCCACCCAGAGGGTGGAGCCCTGACCTCCTAACAGATACTTGCTTTGCTAAGCTGGGCAGATTTAAGGCCCCACCACTGTGGGATTGTTACTGCCACCATCCAGGGAGTGAGGGCGGGAGGGGAGGGGCAGAGTGAACCAGTAGCCGAGGGCAGGTCTTCCCAGCCAGTGGCTGCTGTTCTCTGATATTCCTGAATGAGACCTCGAGTTCCTCAGCCCTCAAGATGCCTGGAAGGGCCTGGGGCGTTTGGAGCCCTCTTGGCCATCCTCCTCCAGCTCCCTGCAGACTTGTCCATTTACCCAAGTGATTCAGGTCAGTGACGTGGCAACATAGGAGTACTGTGACATGAAGGGGTGGGAAGTACAAACTTAAGAGACCACCCGGCCTTCCTCAGACATGACATTCTTGCATCACCTGCTGAGATCAACAGCTGAGGCCACAGCCTTCACACAAGCCCCTTCCCCTGCCCTCACCAGGCTGGCAAGTGGCTCCCAGGAGTACCTGCAAAGTTTCACGCTCAGTGGAAGCCCCTGATGACCTTAGCCTAGATGCCTCCTTTGCACCCCCCTTTCCTGATCTGTGCCTTCCTCTGAGCAAGAACTACTGCAGACAGGCTGCCTTCTCAAGTCCCCTCCTGATGCCCCATACGCTGGCTACGGAGGGGTCTGCATGTGATGGGGTCTGCATGTGACAGTGCCACTATCTGGAGGCTCCTTCTCTCATTCCCAGACTATGCCCGGTTTTGGGAATCTAGTCCTGAGCTGTGTCTGGACAAGCAGCTTCCCATCAGACAAGCAGCTGTCCCTCAGTGGATTCAGGGGTGAGAGGCAGCATGGGGCCCCAGGACCCAAGATCCCCTTTCACTGAGGGACAGCATGGCCAGGGACTTACTGCCATAGCCTGCGCCAGCCTGAGGTCCTGATGCTTCCAGCTGCCCCAGAGGACATCACCCCTGTGCAGGTACCCTTCTATGGACTGGGAGGAGCCCAAGGCTGCAGGAATAGGGTGGGTGGGAAAAACAGCAGCTGGAGAGTAGGCTGGGCATCCAGACTCTTCTGGAACCTGTTTGCTGTGTGGACTGATGTAGGTCTGGAGAGGTCAGGAAGGTGGCAAGAAGCAGCAAAGATGACTGAGAAGGAGTGGGTGGTGTAGGAGGAGAAATACCAGGTTAGTGTGCTGTCCAGGAAGCCAGGGGAAGAAAACATTTCAAGGGGGAGAACACCATCACTTGTGTCACATGCTGCTGAGACGTCAAGTAAGGTGAGGACTGAGAACTCATCACTGGACCAGACATGGGCTTTGACTGGGGCTCTTGACAAGAGCAGTTTGGTAGAGCAGTGGGAGAGAAGCCT